AAATGGTGAACTGGAGACAGGGTCATGGACACCCACGGCTCACTGATGATGAGGTTGACCTACTGTAGATTCTTCCATTTGTACTTTTCAAAAGATTAAAATTTATTTGAATCTTTGTTAAAATGGTTGAAAATGAGAATATTGGTCTCTCTGAAGAGAAAGAGTCAGGGGCTGTAGTGGTGATATCACACCTAGAGCAGTGAGGCTGTTGAATTTGGCTAAAAAAAATTCTCTAACTCGTCCTCACACCACAGTTTTCACTCCTTTTAGCTAGGTTTTTCACTGAATTATAGACACATCTGTGCTCTTCCTCACAGTAGAACTGTGGAAGCAAATGGATTCACAGAAGATGCACAGTGAGCTGCAGAGTGACATGAGTGCCAACCAACTGCCACATGGACTCCTATGTAAACAGTATTAGATAGGTGGTCATAATGTTATGGCTGATCAGTGTATTTCTCAACAGACTTGACACAAATTGTGATACACTGTGATTTAAGATATAATACATTTTCTCTGACTACATTTTAACCACATTCTTAACCTGTTTTTATTTTATTTTTGCACGATAGATTTGAATATGTTTTAGTGTTATTCTGTATTTTTATTATTAGTCATTTACTGTTACGCTCTGTGTAATAAGAATAAAGTCAACATAACTCTAAAGGCTTCATAATAGCTGGAAAATTCAATAACACTGATTAACTTTAAACATTTGCCTGGCCTTTAAAGATAAGCACCACTTCTTCCTGTTGGCAAGGTCAAATATTATAGAAGAATTTCATATGGTTGGATAGTTGTCTCTGCAAAGTTGCAGCTGAATTGTGAAAGCATTAGACGCTTGAATTCAGTCAAGTAGCCTGTAGCAATATAATACAGGGCAGAAATCATTTGAAATGAATGGTTATTTGTACAGTAGATAACCCTGATACCAAACTACAGCTTTAGTGAGAATCTGACCATTTATTTCATAAGCCCTTTGTTTGCCTTCTCAGTGGATAAATGAAAACACATCCTAGTGCCTGCTAATGGAGGTGAATCCCAGCAAGTCCATATTTACTATTCTGCACTAACCATTTTCCTGTGTATTTTTCTCATTCCAGTCAGAAACGTTCACTACCGCGGTTGCTTCAAGTTGCCCAAGAGCACCGTTGGCAGCTTCCCTCTCGCCACCTTTCAGTCCAACCTGACTACACAGTCCTGCATTGAGATCTGCACTGATAAGGTCTGAATTAATTCTCTGAAATTACAGACCTGATGATCACTCTAATTCACATACTGAAGCTTTCTGTAGGGTACCGTCACTTCTCCACTCCCTGGAGAGGAGACTACAACTCAGAGAGCTGTCTCCACTCCCACTGCTGAGGTTTAATGTGCCTCTAGTGAGAACTAGTCTCCATCCTGCACAGAGATCCTATTGGATACAGCTGGGTCTCCTCAAAAAACAGAAATGGCTGGTAGAAGTATTGCACATCATCTGGTGCTGACTGCAGTGTGATTCATTCTCACAATGTAGTTTATGTGTTTGATTATGCATAACTTTTTTAAAATTGCCTCTGCAGTGTCTGCTCATGGGCCTTGACATTGAGCATTCTGACCTCCTGTAACAGGAACAGTGAGCTAAAATAATGAACAAAAATGAAGTGTGGAATGAAGGAGTACTGCTCGCTTTTCTTCTTAACTGAACTGACACATTACCCTTGGGTAGAACAAAAGAAAGAAAAATAAAAAATAACTATGAAGAAACACATGGAGAACCTTTGTGCTTTTGGTCTGTAGGAGCTCCTTTTGGCTGTGTTCAGGAAGCCCCACTGTTTCTGCACACGGACAACATCCCTTTTCAGTCTCAGCCAGCAGTCTGAAAAGCAGCAGTGTGTGGGGAGCACGTCTCTAAACCACACCAGCACCTCTACACCCATAGCACCCACTGAGCACGACCACTACCAGGTGTATCACACACCTGTGCTTGGTGAGATATTTGTTATACAGACACAGTCATCAGCATGTGACAGGTCGTTGTTTAAAACAATCATGTGAAGCCTCACTCTGTTTTAACAAACAGAAATGGGACAATGTAATATTTACCAGACCATGTTGATATTTGAACCCCATCCAATCGTGCCATATCAGTCATTTCTATAGATCATTATAAAAAAAAAGCTGGTAAAAGTAACTACCACAGTGTTACTGTCTCAATTTCGTGGGGAAAGAACGCACTGTGTATGATTGAGGAGAAACCTGCCCTTGAAAGTAGTGTTCATCTCAAACTTGAACCATTTCTTTGTCACTTTTTTCTGAAAATGAATCCATTTGATATATTCTGTTCTATAACTGAGCCTGACAACAAAAGCTGTCCTTCTAGACTCCAGGTGCAAGGAGCGGATGTTTCTGCCTCAGAGATCCGGCTCCCTGGTGGCTCTTTCTAGTTTTCCTGGTGCAGGCAACACCTGGGTACGGCACCTGATCGAGCTCGTGACCGGCTACTACACTGGCAGCTTTTATTTCGATGGCACGCTGTACAACAGAGGTGGGCAGGGCACCGCACTGCCGAGTTTTTGAGCGAGCGCTCAGTGAAATATTGCACCGCAGCTGACCATTATATATTCATTTATTCATTGGTACCAGGTTTCAAAGGAGAGAAGGACTACTGGAAGAGTGGTCGCAGCATCTGCGTAAAGACCCATGAGAGTGGTCAGAAAGAGATTGAGATGTTTGATTCTGCCATCCTGCTGATTCGAAACCCTTACCGCTCCCTCATGGCTGAATTCAACCGCAAGTGCGCCGGACATTTAGGACATGCCACAGATGCACAGTGGAAAAGCAAAGGTAATACAGTACCAATCCACACAAACATAACAGTGAAGTGGTTTATGGCTCTGCTCAAGGATAGTGTAGCTAATGCCACCATAATGTCCTGCTGTTATAGCAGCTGTAGACCTAAGGCCATTTTGTGTATCATTGCACTTAGGCACTTAAGTTCTCCTATTTAGAGTGAAGACTATATTTTTGAGTACTGTAACGTTTAAACAATGGGCAGTAAACACAGTACTACATGTGCTTTCTGAATGGATTTTCAATCGCCATCCTGTGATGTAATGTCACAAAATTCACCAATTGTAACAGAGACATGCAGGCTTACAGCATATAAAATCAAATCAAATCTCGCTTACTGTTGGCCCAGTAATTCACCAGGCACATAGCTTTCATTTGATCTGTCTAGCTACTAAGATTGCTACCAGAAAAAAATTCTCTGACTTCCAGGTCTGTGGGTTATCAACAGTAAGTGTAAACAGTCCCTGTGACAGCCTCTGGTGGCTGAGGGTGCTGACAGAAGCTGCATAAAGGCAGTACCTTCTGTGAATATTTGTCAGGAATTTGTTTTTATTATTTTATTTTGCAGTAGTGAAATGATCGATTGTAGTGGTGCCTCCCTTTAGACCTAGCATCATTTCTGTACTTATGCTGTGAAACTCTGCAAATGAGACTGTTTGCTGTTGCCTACATGATCCTCATCTCTTTCCCCTGCAGAATGGCCAGAATTTGTCTCCAGCTACGCCCCCTGGTGGGCATCCCACGCACTGAGCTGGCTGAAGTTTGGACGTCACCTGCTGGTGGTGCATTACGAGGAGCTGCAGAGAGCTCTTCTCCCACAGC